GTTGGAGTCAGCTTCCCTAGATCAAAAGACCAAGATGCTTTATCTAATTACAGTCATGGTACAAAGCAGTACATGCGAGTGCCCTGAGAGCTACATGGGGGAAGAGTTTTGCTGTTCTGTGCTTACATCTTGAAAGCAAAAATACTTTTATGTTCTCTGTAATGTTTTGGTGTGAAAACTTGCTGTGTCCTCTCCCTTCCGTGGCCCCAGTGTCCTGGGTCTCAGTGTACTGGGGTAAGGTGTCAGAGTAAATCTGAACTTTGTGAAGATAACTCAGAATTCATGTGCTTTTGCCCTCCTGTAGTCACTCCAGTCTGCTTATGCCTTGACAGAGTCCTCCAGGGTCTTCCCACAGGTAAGTTGCTAAAGGAAAACCCAAAGTGTGAACACTCCTGACCTCAAAGGAAAAATATGGGAAATGGCTCTAGTTTTGTTTAGTTTTAGTTTAGTTTTTTAATCTCTTTCATCAGGCAAAGAGAGCTTTGCTTTGGCAAATGCTTTTCTTGGCAAATATTTGTAGCAGCAAGTGGTTCCTCTACTTTCTCCTCCATCTTTACAGAACAGCAAGTAAATATATGTACTTTTCTTTAAGAAGATCCACAGTAAAATCAGGGTAGATCAGATTTGGAACAGATGGTTTAAATCAGTGAGGAAACTCAGTTTCAATTTATTTCACTTTTTAAAAACTTATATTGTTTGGTTTTTTTTTTTTTTAAAGTGATATCAACATACAAATTAACATATTTGAAATGTAGCATCACATATAAGTAAAACCTGATTTTTCTTGGTAATCAATACATTAGTTGTAGTATGCAAGCCTTCGAGCTGTTCTGTAGGTGAAACGCTGATATTCAGATTCCTAGCAGTTCCCAGAATTTGCTGCAGGCTGCTTGGTGATTCAGGCACACTTTTGTGTCTTGGATTGCCTGGCAGTTTAAGACCAGTGGTTCACACAGTCAGTGCTGTGGTCAATCAGTAAAGGCCTGTGGGCTTCCTTGTAGCCTTTTACTTGTAGGATGTGTAGGAGGTGACTGAATGGTTCATGCTTCACTGTTGGAGAAGAACCATGAATACAAATATACAACCCCTGCCTCTGCAAGTTAAAAACAGTAACAGAGGCATTCACTCTCAAAGAGAGTCAAATCAAATTTGTTAAATGAAGTTTATTCATTTTGTTATTTATGTATCAGTTTAAGGATCAGTGATGAAGTATTTGTCCACATCACTGCTCAGCTGAAAGTGCACTTGAGCCTGCACTTCCTTTGTGTTTTGGGTGCAAGCTTGTCAAGTGGGGACCTTGCTTTCTGGCATGCCCCAGAGTGCTGAAAGCATGCATATCTGAGTCTGTGAATTTTCATTTGATTGAACCAATTCCACTTGTTTTCCCAGCAGGTATGTTCTGTCCTTTCAAATTTGTATGTGGTGTTTCTTCTCCATGCCATCATTCCATAGTGACTCGTATCCTACCATGACTGTTATTTGGATGAGGGAGAAAAGCATTTCCAGTGAAGGCAAGAACTGTTTCCCAGGTGGATGTCCTTGTTTAGCTAGTAGTCTGGGTTGCAGCAGGCAAACTGGAAGGCAGATGTGTGTTGTCCCAAGATATGCCAGCTCCAAGTTGGCTGTCATTTGTCTTTGTGCTTTGCAAGCAGCTGAGTATTTATTCCTGGGCAGGCTGAGGGACCACTGATCTTAAAGTGTGACTTCCATGGAAGTGCATTTTTGATGTACAGAGCGGTATGGTATAGAGATCCTAAGCAGGTAGGTCTGTCAAGTGTAGAAGCGTGGAGCACTGAAGTCATATTCGCTTAAGTGCAGATCTCTGGCTTTGCTCCTTCTGGTTTAAGACGTACCTGACTAGGCTAAGTTTGAGCTCTGTACCAGCCTTTGAACTGGGCCCCTGGACCCTGGGAAGGAGCAGTTCATGGTGCTGGGAGTCTTGACTTAAATATCAGATCAGTTTCCTGGGTCTGGAATCTGTAATAGTTGCAACATTTTTTCGGAATCTAAAAAATTTTAAAATACTGTAGACACCTGTTAGACCATGGTGGTCTAACTTTGTACTTCCTTTTTCTTTGCTGTAACTTGCAATTCATGACTCCACTGACAAACCTTTAGTAAGGTATCAATACACCTGCTACTCTTTGTCATTCAGTTCTGAATGAAAAAAATCTCAAGGATTAGGGAAATGCTGAGTTTTATATGGCAGTGCTAGTTGGTCTTCTGGTTCTGAAGAGTCAGGATTAGTTTATTTGGGATTAGGTGAAAGTTCTGAATTGTGCAGACTTTTTTGAAGCTTTTACTTGTGGAGAAAGAGTCTTTACAAAGATTCATATCACTGGAAGTATAAAATGCAGGAAAAAATATGTCACTGGTGCTTATTAATCAGCTAGAAAATCAGTTGGCAGCCAATCAAATAGATGGAGCATTATAATAAATCCTTGGTTCTCTTTTGCTCAGTGTTAGCTTGTCTACCACTTATTTAGGTAGTAGTGAACACATCAAGACAATAATAGCTTGGTTTGGATTAGGTGATTGCACTGGTCAGTGTCTCAACCACCACCTAAAATGCTGGTTGCAGCAGAGTAACTATATTTAACCTGGCATAAAATCAGTACAGTGATAAGATAACTGATCCTCAGTGAACTCCTGTGGTAGAAAACTGACCCATCAGAATTACTTGAACAAAACTTGAAATGTCATAGTGAGTACTTTATGCACATGTTGTAGATTTTAAAAAAATATTTTTAATAATTTTTTTTTAATTGGTAGGATGTGCTTTTGAGGTGAATTTATAATAGCCTTGACGTATGACCTCAGGTAGATGAGACTTCCACAACTGCTTACAAATAAACCTTAGGGTCACTTTGCTTTGAAGTTTATATAGACACTGCACTCTAATTGGAATTAGTAGTGTAATCCTGATACAGTGTTGGAGACCAGAACAACATGAGAGCCAATAGCAGAAAAAGAAAAAAAAAACCTGGCTCTAATGAGACTTGAAAGCCAGAATTTTCTAATACGTCAGTATCTTCTTTTTCTGAGCATTTTCTCAGTCTGATATTTATAGTCAGCATTTTATATCTGCTTGGAAGTTTTCATCCTTCTGTCTTCTTCCTCTGTCCTTTATCACTTGGGAAATAATTTACCCGGAAGGAAGAAAATTTGGATTTAAACTACTTCTGAAAGAGAACCAGGTCTTTATTGGGTATGTGCTTTGCCATTGTGTTGGGGGAAAAACAGCTATGCAGAAGTGTACCTATGGTCCTTCAATGACTTAGTTCTCTCTGGCCCCTAATCGCTTTGGAAGATAGATGCAAGGATTTCTGGGTCAGTTCCACAGAGATGTTTTGGCAGGATACCAAAAGTAGTGGGGAGAAGGAGTTAGGAGAAATCCTTGTGAAGGCTACTTCTTCCTGGGACATAAGGGAAACAGAAACAGAGCAAAATAAATGAAAAAGCTGCAACCAGACTCAAAGATCTCTCATTGTAATTTTCCCCTCCCCCAAACAGGACAGTCCCCTTCCCTCCTGCATGGGGCAGGGGTGTTGGTGTGTGGTCTCTCTGATGAGGTCACCTGGGCAGTGGTCGCAGCCTTCTGCTCTGTGCTTATGTCAGCTGGGGTATGCAGAGTGGGAGCTGCAGGTCAGACCTTTCCTTAAAGGTCCCACCTGTCTTGTTGGGTACCTGCTCTTTCTAGGCTGCAGTCCTGTCCTCAGCCCATCTTGAATAGCTACAGTTCACTTTCACGTGGGCTGTCTTTTGGAGGACATGGTGTTTTAGGAAGGCGCTGGCGTGTTTGCATGCTCTGCTGAAAGATGGTGCTGTAACATCCTCCATGGCGCTCCAATAAATGTAATGAAGGTGTGTGGCCGTGCTTGCCCAGTGTGTCTGTGGAGGTGCTCACTGCCTGGGTTGGCTTTAAAGTCAGGTAAGAATCCTGCATTACTTCATCATTTCAGTATTTTCTGGCTCACTGCTGTGTAAGTCTTGATCCCATCACTTGCTTGGGCAGCGACTGGTGTCATAAGGTGGCTGCAGGTTTGTTCTCTCCCTCATCATCCAAGCGGTAAAGCTTTGCTAGGATTTACAATATTTGAGTGGCAGTATGGAAAGTATACTCTGCTGTCTACTGGTAAACCTGTAGTACAGTTCCTCTTGAAAAATATTAAATCTGGCATGCATCTGACTAAGCCATGTATCTTTGCTCTGTAGCATGTAACGTTTGCTGCTTTTCAGAACAAAGGATTCTAGATTTTGCTCTGTGTGAGAAGCAAGCAGCTGTAACAGCATTAAAGGGAGGAAATGGCGCTGTTTGGCATGCTCCTGATAGGAGAAAGGTGGCAGACTAGAGCTCATTTGTAGGTGAGGGTTCATTCCACCTGCTTCAAAGTGCTGTTAGCAATCATAAAAGCTCTGTCTGTGGTCCTGCTTCAGCTTTGGTCTTGCTGCAGCCCCTGTGGAAGTGAGGGCCAATATGGCCTATTCTGAAAAATACTGATTGTGCTTTTTTATTCTTTTCCTAGGGCCCAGTCATTTACGCGCAGTTAGATCACTCCGGAGGACAGCACAGCGACAAGATTAACAAGTCAGAGTCTGTGGTCTATGCCGATATTCGGAAGAACTGAGATGAGATCCTAATCTATCCAAAGGAAAACACACATTCAGACTGGAATTGCTTGAACAAGATTTGACCCAGAGAACTCACATGTGGCCTTTGATGCCTAGGCTAGGACCAATGCATGTGCATACAGAGGGAAAGATATATATGTATTGTGTGTAAATAGTCTATTTAATCGTACAGAAATGAGACCAGTGTTGCATGTTGAAATGCGGTAAGAATTTTGCTTATAAATTGCCAATATTCTTTTTTTGTATCTTGTGTGATGAGAGAGAAAGTGAAAACTCGCATCACAATTTTAAAATATTTTTATCTTGATTATTAATGGAGAAACTGGAAGATGCCTGAAGATTCTAGATTTGACCTGGAGATTCTTTTTTGTTTATAGGGCCTAATTTCTTTTGTTCTGGTGAATATAAAGAAGATATATTCTTTATATTCACAGAGTTCTTTATGTATACAGGGTATTCATCTTTCCTTGGTCAGATTCTCAGTACAAGCTGCCTTCTCGTATAAACTAGATGCTCTCACTTGGTCTTGTAAGCCAGATTGTGACTCCTAGCTATCAGAAATGTAAGTCTTAGCAGTGTAGGGGAAGGAAATATTTAGGCCTACCTGACCAGTGTAACACAGGTCACAGAACTGTTTACTTCTGTGTTGAGCCCATCTATTCAAGCTTAGCCCTTTAAGGTACAGGGGTAGGGTTGATCTAATGAATTTTGTGAAATGGTAGTTTACCTGTGAAAACTTAAGAGCTAGTGAATTAAAAAGATAGGAAGCTATAGCTGTAGGTGGTTGCCTCAGACTCTGTTGAGCCTTTCAGTGAAATGTTTCTTCCTTGAAGATCTGTCATTTCATAAAAGCCTGAAAAAGGGATCTGGAAGCTGTAGTACTCCCTCACCTCTCTCCCATGGCTCCATTATACCACTATCACTTCCTTAGAGATGCTTTATCTGTTCTTAAAAGCCTATAGTGGAGGCTGAAAGACGTCTGGAGGTAATCTAGGGCTTCACTCTGTGGTTTCTTTGGTGTGTGTTTTTTTGTGTAACCTATGTTTGCACAGAGGATGCAGAGGGCAGTTTATTTCCTTCCTCTCTGCAAGTCTATTACTTGAATATAATTCCCCAGCTTCTTGTTTCTAGATTAAACTCCTCATAGATTGTTAAGGTTCTGTGATCATTCTCTTCTGCTGAAGAGCTTTCTTTAGCTGACCCAGTTGTATCCTGAAATCTGGTGCTCAAATCTAGAAATGGCATTCCAGCTGATGTCTTCTCAGCATGGCATATAGTAGAAGGATTTCTGTTTTGTACATCCTAGTGTGGTGTTGGCTTTTTTGTAGCAGCAAATAATTTTCAGTTTGGTCTACCATAACCCTTTCTCTCTGATTCTTATCCATTTCCTAATTCGGTCTGTTTTGCCATCAGTCACAGAATGGTTGAGGTTGGATGGGACCTCTGGAGATCATCTAGTCCAAACCCCCACTCCTCAAGCAAGGTCAGCTAGAGCAGGTTGCCCAGAACTGTGCCCAGTTGGGTTTTGAGTATCTCCACAGATGGAAACTACAACATTTCTGGGCAACCTGCTCCACTGTTTGATCCCTTAGAGTGATTGAATAGTAAAAAAAAAAAAAAAAAAAAACCAAACAAAACTTCCTTTTGTTCAGGTGGAATTTCCTTTTTTTTTTTTTTTACATTCCTGTCCATTTCCTCTTGTCCTGCCAGTGAGTACTACTGAGAAGAGTAGTGCTCTTCATTCCCTCCCATCAAGTATTTATATACATTGATAAGATCCCCCTAAGCCTTCTCTTCTTCAGGCTGAACAGTCCCAGCTCTCTCAGCTTTTCCTCAGGGGAAAGATGCCCCAGTTCCTTTATCACCTTTGTGGCCCTGCACTGGACTTGCTCCAGTAAGTCTGTATCTCTCTTGTACTGGAGAGGCCAGAACTGAACACAGCACACCAGGTGTGTCCTCACCAGTGCTGAATAAAGGGCAAAAATCACCTTCCTTGACCTGTTGGCAATACCTTGTCTAATGCAGCCCAGGATACCATTTGCCTTCTTTACAGCAGGGGCACAGCAGGTGTCCACCAGGAACCCCACAGGGCCTTTTCTGCAAAGCTGCTTTCCAGCCAGGTGGCCTCTAGCATGTACTGGTACATGGGGTTGTTCCTCCCCAGGTTCAGTACTTTGCACCTCTCTTTCTTGAACTTCATGAAATTCCTCTTAGCCCAATTCTCAAGCCTGTCCAGGTCCCTCTGTCTGAATGGCAGCACAACTATCTGGTGTGCCAGCAGCTCCTCCTGGTTTTGTATTGTCTGCAAATTTGTCTCCACTGAAATTATGTTATGATTTTTTCAGACCTCATCTTCAATTTGTCAGTTGAAAACTTGGTTTGAATTCTCACATTGTCCTCCACTGAGCTTGCAACACTTCTAGCTTGATATTTGCAAACTTAAGCCTACATTCCACTGTCATATCAGGTAAATGAAAAATAGTTCTAGGCCCATGGCAGGCCCTTTCAGAACCACATTAGATAATCCTTTAATTATGACAATGCAACCTTCATAACTATTTTGTGTACAGTGCTTGGTTTTTTTTGCCGAACAAGGCTGAGTATGCCAACACTAAATTCTTTCATCAGGATCAGACTTCATTGGTTTCCTGACAGCACCTGCCTTTGTTAGAAGCCTCAAGCCTCATTAAGATCAGGATGAATCCTGTGGCTTTCCTTATCTAACAGGCTTTTATTTCCCAATATTTGTTTTACACTTAGTAAGAAATTAACACTTTTGACATGGTTGGTGGAGAAACTATTTTGATCTGTCTGTGTTCATCTCTGTGCATCACCATCTTTCTCCCCAGACATTTTTAGAGTAAGAGGGAGAAATGTGGTGAATGTAGCGATCAAAAACTTGCTGCTATGAGAAGATAGGGCTGTCCTTGGCTCTGAAGTCTGCTACTAATGTTTGTTTCTTTTCCTGCTGGAATATACTGGAGAGTGGGAGCACAATCCTGATCTGGTGCTAACTTTAAGAAACACGCTCATCTAGTTGGTGCTGACTTTAGGAAACATGCTGATCTGGTGCTAGCTTTAGGAGACACACTGATCTGGCTGGTGCCAACATTAGGAAACGCTGATCTGGTTGTTGCTGGCTAACTTTAGGAAACATCTCCTTCCATTGCTTTTGTTTAGCTACAGGTGTGTTCATATTGCCTATACTAAGGAGGCTCATTGCGCGGCTGCTTGGATCCTCTTTGTGAGGGCAGAATGAACTTGGAAGTATTTTTTAAAAATGCTGGACTTTTTTTAGAAAGAAACAGAAGTCCTTTCCCTCAGGAATAGCAGAAATCAGTCTGAATCCCTCTCCAGTGCAAAGGCTGTTGAACTATCTTTTTTGTTGTTGTTGTTTTGGCTGTTGAACTATCTTTTTTGTTGTTGTTGTTGTTTTGTTTTGTTTTTTTTTGTTATGGAAACATGAACAATGTAGCTATTAAATAACTTATTCAAACTGAAATCAAAAGAGGCAATGCGAGACAAGACTTCTGAACTTTCTGTCCCTCAGGTTATCATCTTAGCTTGTTTAATCGTACGATAACCTGTGCTGATGAAAGGGATTGATGCTAAGTTGGCTTACTTAGTAAAGTCTCAGGAGACAGAGGACTTCTACTTCTTTGATGGATAGCAAGCAGAGATTAACGTCAGAAAAGGGCATCATATCCTCATGTTATGGTTACCAGAAGTTTAACTCTGCTCTACTGTTATTCTCTTAATTCTCTGACGCTGTTCTTTGCAGCGTGGACTTTGAGGCGCAGTAAGTCCTTGTCATGTTGCAGCATTGCTCCTAGCTCTTTTTAGGATCATCTTTTTTAAAAAGAAGTGCTGTGTGGCAGGCTTGCTGCAGCACAGCTGAGGGTAGGCAGCCTCTCTTGACGCAGTAGCAAATGACTAAAATTGTTACGTGGGTCATAGCTCTTGGATAGTGGAGCTGGGGAAGGTCTATGTGATGAAAAAGACTTGGAAAGAATTATCTTTTATTCATCGTGGAAACAAAACTGGGATCAATCTGAAATCCATTTCTCAGCTGAAGGGAAAAAAAGGGTCTTTTATGGGTAGAAGTGACCGCTACCCATTGTAGGGGTGTAGTTTTGGATCCCCAGCCTGGGCTCTTGCAGCTAAGCCAGCTGGCACCCTCTAGAGCCAGGGATTTGAATGGCATCATTCATCTTCCCGGCTTTTAACAGAACCACAAAGTGGAAAAGTTTTGGCTTTTTATTAACAGTGGATGTATTCTTCCTTATTTTTGATTGCCAGAAATGGATTTTGAGATGAGGATTACAAATAAATATAAAGTGTCAATCTGAGTAAATTGGTAGCTGTACTCAGTACGTCAAATCTCCATTGCCTCTTTTGACTTCAGCGGTTTTTCTGAGGGAGATGATCGGCATGTTCATGAAATGGCATTAAGAGCCATTACAGGGTGACAAATATGTCCCTGTAACTAATTGAATGGTGTGTTATTTGTAACTGGAGACACATAGGAATTTGTTTTTAGTGATATTTCAATTTGTGACTAGAAGAGCTGGAATTAGGTTTTTAACGTTTTAAACCTATGAGAACTGCTTAGGTAACATCAGTCTTGTAACCTGCAGTAAACGTGCATATGCATCTTAGAAGCTGCATCGCCTAAGAGTGGCTTCATTGAGGTCAAGTGTGGGCTGTTTGATTTATAACCAAAACACCTTCACTCTGCATTGAAATCTTGTATTGGAATTTTAGATTATTGCTGTATCTACCTAGGACCTCAGATACAAAATCTTATTATTGTACAATAGGTGATGGAAATATTTTCTTTGTAAAACCATCAAAGTTAAGAAGGTGCGTAAGACTTCTGGGCTGTGGCCACACCCCTGTGGTGCTAGTATTTAGATAATATTTTTATATGGGAGACTACAAAACCATATTAACTATGCTCAGCAATTATACTCTT